TCTTTATAACATATTTTCTATTTTTAATTCCATATGGAGGATTTGGGGACCAAAACAAGGTTAACTTGAGACAGCCCTCATTTCCTTCCCAGCCCCCCAAAAATGTTTAAATAAATTCATGGGTACCATAAAGACATTTTATTTTAGGGTTTGGGCCACAAAGTGACCGGTTAAGTTTTTCAGGCTGAATGTGTTTTGTTTAGGAGGGTGGCAAGTTAAGAGGAAAGGAGAGAATTAAAATATTTGCAAGATGTCATTAATCTCCAGCAAGAGCCTAGAGTTGTTTTTTTTTTCCCCCCCTCTTCATTTCAGAACTAATCCAGCTTTCTGTTATTTGGCTCAGAAAAGTCTTAAATCTGTAACAAGAGAGTAACTTCCTGTTCTCAAGAGTATGGCTGCCAAAGAAAACATTTACAAGAAAAGTCCCAGGGCCAAAAAATTGCCTACTAATTATTTCTTAACCCCCTCCCACCCCTAATTCAGGAAGGTGAATGCTGTAAATGCTGTATGTTAAAACTCAAAAGTATGTGTTGAAAAATTAAGAGAAAACCCCTAAGAACTGTTTGCTATTTATTTATATTTTATTGCATTCAAATTACATGGGTTTTACGGCCCTTGGGCACAAATTAATGTTTCTTATAATATTTTGTTCGGAATTCCACAAAGATTATACTATGCCTTTATCAAAATACATGATGGCAGTTTTTACCGGGCACCTTCCCAACCGAAGACGGGGAAGCAACCCCAACCTTCAGGACCTGACTAGCACTGCCAGCTAGGCCATGATGTCGCTCCAAATTGGCCTGACTCAGCAGTGAGGTCTTGGTGTTCCCCTCGGTGATCTGTCTTATTCAGGGCAATGCCAATCAAAGTCCCAGCAGCCTTTGGTAGAAATGGACAGACTGGAAAACTCATATGGAAATGTGAAGGACCCAGAATACCCTAAACCGCTCAGAAAAAGAACAAAGTTGGAGAGCCTGTGCCACCTGACTTCAAGCCTTATTAGAACACTGATGATCAAGAGAGTGTAGGCTTGGTATCAAGATGGCAAATAGATCGATGTAACAAAGTAGTGAGTGTATATATTGACTGATGCAAATATCGCCAAGTGATTTTCAACAATGGTACCAAAGCAATTAGGTGGCAAACGGGTAGTCTTTTCAACAAAGAGTGCTCAAATAATTTACACTACACACCATGTGTTAGTAATCTAATCCTGTCCCGACACATTATCCCAAAATTTAGCCACCAGTCTCCCTCTGGTTCTTTTTGCCTCTGGTCTCTCTTTCCAGAAATACATCTCCAGTCTCCTTTTTGGCCTTTCCCTTTCCTGACAAAATCAAATGGGTTATTCTCAGATTTGCATAGGAGGAAAAGGACACTACAGTTTATTTAATCTGTGTATCCAGCCACATGTTTTCCCACACAATTCCGCTCACTAGTCTTCATGGAGTCTCTAATCTGTGTTCAATAAGAGGAGATCCTTGGATTTGCAAATATTCGTGATGCAACACCTCTTTCCCAATGATTACTAGTAATAATGGCAGGTGGCAACTGTCGGCATGTGTCTGGCAAATTTTCCCACGTTCTTTCACGTGATCTGCACAGCAGGCCTATGAGGGGGGTACAGTTTGAGCTCGAGGCAAAACTACTCAGAGCACTGAGCCTGAGAGCTCAAGTGGCCTCACCAAACAGGTACTGTGATTTAGTTGCAGACCCGGGACTGACTCCGGACTTCCCACCTGTGTTCTGGAATTAAGCCTGTGTGGTTTCAGACAGTTTTCATCTCTGAGTTTGTTTCCTTGTCCACAAAATGGCACTAGTAACATCTTCCACATAGAATGATTGCCAAGATTTAATGGATATATGCCGGGTCTGGCTCAGTAACTCTTGGTGTCCTGTACTTCCCCAGCCAGGGCTCTTTCTGGAGTACTTTGCATTTGTAGATTTCTTCATGATTATCAGGGTTTGGGATGGGTCCCCTCCTTTATGGGAAATTACCTCCCAAGGAGAGACAGGAAATGGACATGATGATCAGTCATTAGATATAAGAGAAGAAGGAGGGCCTAGGAAAAAGTACCCCTGGGATTTCAGAGACAGCAGAGATCAGGAAGAGCCAAACTCACTGGGAACAATTTTGCAGAGGCGAGGGTCTCGAGGTGCACATGTCTGTCTCCCCAGCGCCGATGGCATGCGCTGGTTGAACTGAACTGGGCCTCTGAGTCTGGATGTGAAGAAGAGCACTGTGGTCTGAGGTGGCCTGAGCCAACACATGAGGGAATCCTGCCCTTCCTGTCACATGCTCCCACCCCACCCCTTACCTTAGGGGGACCACCCCCAGAGCTCCTGGAGCAGGAAGACAGCATTTGCTGGGGGAGGAAGAGGGTGCCCAGGGTAGACTCACCACCAGCTCAGAGGTCAGCCTCGGTTGATGCCCCCTCTAGAGGGGGGAGGGCCTGTCACATCAAGCAACTCCGAGCTCTTTCCAGATGTCCCTTTCCCTGCCAGCCCTGAAGTCTGCCCTCTGGGGCCGGTCCCACCCAGATTCTAACCCCATTTCGGTCACAGGGCTTGAATATTTTCTGTCTCCATAGCTGGCTCTCGCTTTTGACTAAGCAGCAGGACTTCTCTGATTCCAGGATCCCGGGGAAAGCAAGCCCGCTTCCTCTAAGTCCAGGCCTGCTTCCTGTTTGCTGCCCATGTTCTCTCTGGGCCCTCGGGACGCCTACAGGCCTGCAGCTCACACCTGCACAGTCCCTGAGCTCAGGTATCCAAAGGCAATATCCTGAAGGAACTTTTTTCACTGCCTGTTAGGGGGACAGGTCTGCCTCAAGCAAGCAACTTTATATACTCCTTCGTTTTCTCATTCCCAGTGTTGGCAAAGGGGTCAGGAAACCACATTCTCATCCTGTTGATAAGAATTTAAATGGACACAAACTTCCACAGCCCCAGTTGGAGCATATGCACCAGAAGACTTAAGCTGGCATAGTTTTTTAAAAATGTTTCTTTATTTTGAGAGAGAAAGAGCATGCGCACGCAAGTGGGAGAGGGGCAAGGAGAGAGAGGGGGAGAGACAGTGAGAGAAGAAAGAGTCTGTGCTGTCAGCGCAGAGCCCAGTGTGGGGCTCAGTCTCGCGGACTGTGAGATCATGACCTGAATCAAAATCAAGAATCGGATGCTTAACTGACTGAGTCACCCAGGCACCCCAAGTTCACATCATTTTTGTCTCAGCCCAGCGATTCCTCTTGGAATTTATCCTGAGAAAGTAGTTAGGCAAGCGTACAAAGATGCGTGTAGAAGAGGATTCATCAGAGGACTGCTTAAGAAAAGGAGACAACTTCCAAAATTCCAACCTGACTGGATAGGTCCAGGAAGTCATAGTATGCCAATAAAATGGAATCCAATTAATCATAAGAAGCAGTACCATAGATCTATATACCTATATCCATATCTAGATTGATCACAGTATAGTAAGTACATTACAAAGGTATGTATTGATAATAGCACTTAGTAAGCAAGTGCCTACTGTGTGCCACGCATCACGTTAGAACTTCATGGACATTAACTCATATAATCTTCACACCAACTCCGGTTAGGAAAGAACTATCACTGATTGCATCTTACAGGGGCTCGAAGAGGTTCTGCGACTTGCCCAAAGCATATACTAGTGACGGAGCTCAGTCCCCTGAGCCCATGTTACTAAATATCATGATTCTGCTTCTCAGTATACTGCCATGCTTGTTTTAAAAACAAAATAAATAGTGTGTGTGTGTGTGTGTGTGTGTGTGTGTGTGTGAAGAAAGCGAAGAAGGACTGAAATGAAAATATTGATAGAGGCACTATTATAGAATGTTACTTTTTTATTTAGGATAAAACCTTGCATACAAAGCTATTTTTCATTTCAATAAGATAAAATTACTATGTAATATTAGAGTTTGCAGATAATGTTCAGGGTTTACACACACACACACACACACACACACACATACACACGCTGGTGCTCTCTCACACATACACACACCCTCTCCTATGGTTTATAAATGCTTCTAAGGACTACTGACTGAAAGATCACTGTGCCCTCACTTTGACATTCCAGATCCCGGTTCCGCTGTCTACCTCTTCTACCTGCCCATGGATGAAACACAGAGCCAACACGGGTAGAAAAAAATACATGGCATTTATTAAACATATGTGACACAGATTGTAATATCAAAGTAGAGCATGCATGAACAAATTATTCATTTAACAAAAACACCAGTCGATAATGAAAACGAAATGATTACATTCCACAACATACAAAATTTTTTCAGTTAAAATGAGAAAGAAAAAAAATCACAGGTAAAATAAATACATTGATTTCAGTGAGCCCCATACAGACATAAGGCACGAATTAAACCGGAGGATTAGCACATGGGAATGAGGCACCCATGCCCGCAGGAGGCCAGTCTCCAACCGCGGCTCCCACACCCCACACACATCCAGGCACCAAGAAGAGAGAGCGTCTGCATGCTGGGAAGCCTTCCCTCCTGGCCAGGTCTCCCCAGGTGCCCACGCTCCCGCAGACAGGCTTCTCGGCACCAGAGAAACACTGCCTCTAATACTTTTATGGGTAAATAAAACCTTCATGCTGTAACAAATGATCCTGACGTGAATAACGTGAAATTTCAAATTAATGCCCTTTTTCCTCCCAGCTGAAGGCTAGTAAAACAGAAAATAAATTGTGAGGGAATTCTCCTGACAGAATTTCAGTGTCTACTCCCAAAGCTAATGACGGCCCAGTATAGCACGGTTGGGTGTTTGAAATATGACCTCGACACCTCTCTCTCCTGCCCTCCCCTTCCACCTCCGCTTTCCTTCATGTTTTAGAAGTAGATCAGAGTCAGCAATCTCCTTTCTGGCTTAAACCTGTATAGGACGAGGTGGTAGCCACCTTTCCCAGCCTCAAGCCACAGGGTTCTAGGGCCTTTGTCCCTCTGTCCAAAGCGACTGTCTCCAGGCGCCTAAGTCAGAGTTTTCTTCAGGGTTAACTCCAGGACTCGTGTGTACGGTGTGTAATTCCTGGAAGGCATTGCGATCTCACGAGTCCTCCCTGTTGGGCTGAGAAACGAGAAAAGGCAAGTCAGGAAGATCGACCAAAACTCCCCACAGTCTTCAAGTGAGACAGCTCTAGAAAATGGTTTTGCAGCCACAGCAGCCTGAAAATAAACTGACACAATGCAGTTGAATCTTTTGTTTAAATATTATGAGGGACCATTAATCTTAGCAATTTAGATAGGTCATGCTAAATATCATTCAGAAAAATAAAAAAAAAAAAACA